TTTTATTTTAATGGACCGATTTTGATGATTTTTTAAGCAGTGTGTTGCCAAATTATTTGACTTCTTAGTATCTTTTTCTAAATTAAAAATGAAACTCCCCATCTGTTAATTATACGAGGGAAAACAAAATATTGATATTTTTATTAAAGTTTGCAACACCCTGTGAAATATGTTTGTGAAACAGCAATATGTGAAAACAGCAAAAAATTTAAAAATTATTTTATCATCTAGATACATTCTTTCTGGATGGTTTGTTTTTTGGTTCATCTCATTAGCTTTATTTTTGTTGGAAATATTCGGTTTTAAAGAAGGCACTAACATTTTTCGTAATTTTTACATTAAGACCATGCCTTTGCTTTTGGGCCTAGTCAACACATCTAGTAAGTTCTGGTCCCGAAGCAGGCCTTCTTGACATAAGATTTGCTTCATTTAATCTTCTTCTTGTAGTCCGTTAGTTAATATGTACGGTTCTTAAGTGCAATTCATTATCAATTTGAAAAGCTTGCAAACGGCAGTTTCTTAGCGGTAAACTTACAATAAGTCGATCGTCTCGATTAGAAGTTTTCATACGAAGGTTCCTGGACGTCTATATTGACGTCCTCATGGACTTGGTCATAATTCAAAGACCATTTAATATACTCTATGGTATTAAGGTATTTTTGGAACTAGAATTTTATAGCAAATTCACTAAACTCGAATAAATAAATTATATATTTGACTCACCCTGTATATCTATAAAAATTAATATATTTATGAAATGTGAACTACCATTAAAAATATATTTTGTAAAAGGTTTGGAGTGCAAATCTCAAATAGGAATCCTGATACAGAGCTTTTCCGGCAAACGGAGCCATCTTGTATGTAGGCATTTGTATATGTGTATGTTTATTTAAATACTAAAGTGAAAGCAACGAATTTAAATAGGTAAACTTTGTAATATATCTTATTAACAATATAATGCAAAAAGTTTTGTAACAATTCGTTCACAGTAAATGAATTCCGAGGTTTGTATCTCATAAGGGCTTAAAGCACTCTACTATTAGGCAAATTTCTGAAATATAATATATATTTCCTTCGGCCGCACACCCGCTTTACCCGACCCCTGAAAGCGACCTGAAAGTACAGCGTATTAGACTCTTAAATATGCCATTTTCTCACTATTTTTCATTGAATTTCTTTTCAATAATAGCTTCGTTCGCAGAGCAGTCCGAAATAGTCTACAACGGTCCGACGCATGCGCGTTTCAGTTATTTTTTATAAAGTTTGCAACACATTCATTAATTTGTTGTTACCTGTTGTAAATTACATAAAATGATGGTCATTGATTTGATTTAGCTTTTATAGTTCATATCAAATAAATTTTTAGTCACGTGATTAAGTTGTAAGTGACAGGCACAGCGTTGCCCACTCTTACATATTTTCTTTTAATCAAAATACACACAACCAAACTTATATGGAATCACCTATTATTTTCCATAATTTTTGAGATGTATGAAAATTTTCTGTTTATGAATAAAACTCTGTCCTTACCAATGACTTTTCATGAAAAATAATCCAAAAAATAATCAGTTCCCAAAATAAACAAAATGGTATTTTTTATGGTTTCTGAAACGAAATTAAGATTTAAATTTTTAATGGACAAAAAGCTTAAACAAAAAGAAACTTGATAATTTTAATATTCTTTGTTGCCACCTCTAGCCCTTATGCAAGCTTCTATCCGCGCTGGCATGCTCCTTGTTAAATTATCCACGTTGTCTTGGGGTATGTTTTCTCATTATGCCAATGCTGCATCAATAAGCTGTGCGAGATTTCCTGGATTGTTACGACGAGCTCTAACCCTTCTTTTGAGCTAGTCCCACAAGTGTTCGTTAGGGTTTAGATCTGGTAAATAGGCAGGCCAGTCCAAAACTATGACACCTTCCGTTTCAAAACGTTCTCTAGTCACTCTGCTGGTATAGGGAGGTGCACTATCGCGCATGTAGTTAAAATTATCCCCAATTGCAGCTCTCCATAGACTAATTGGTTCTAGCACCAAGTCAACATATCTCCGACCCGTTAAAATTTGTTGAAGTGGTAACAATGGAGTTTTTGCTCCTAGTATAATATCTCCCCAGAACATTATAGTTCCTCCTTTATATATTGGTACAGATTTGGCAGCCTGAAGTCTCGCTCGTCTTCCTGGAGCTCTAACAACCCGAATTCGATGGTTATCTGATCTTAAGCCAATTCTGCTCTCATCCGAAAAAAGAACATTTCGCCAATTCTCAGTTGTCCAGTTTTGATGTTGAAGGCATCAATTTAGCCAGTCAGTTTTATTTTGCCGAGATAACTGTAGGATCCGTAACTCTCTCCTACTGTAAAACCCTCCTGCACGAAGACTTTTTCTTATGGTTTCAACTGAAATCACACTTGTAGCTGCCAGAAGTTGTCTTTGTAGCTCTAGATGAGAAACATTGGGATTTATTCTAGCAATTTAGCACACAAGGCGGTCTTGTTGTTCAGTTGTGACTCTTTGGTGAATTTGTATGGGCCTATCCTTGTGTGTTCCTAATTCCAAGTATCTTGCATATGTTTTCGATACAACACCCTGGGTAACGCCTACTATCTCTGCTACGTCTCTCTGGAGCATTCCTTGTTCGGTGAGAGCATTAATTCTTCCCCTCTATACAGGGTGGTCGAAATTGGGCTGTTTTAACAGGGAAACCCTATTTCCTGACTAGATAGAGCAAAACCGACATAGATGTCATGGGCTCGATTTCTGAGACACCTTTTTTTACCATTTTGAAAATTGCCCATAACTTTTTTAATTCGTGGAATAATAAAATTCTGTAAAGACGTTCTTAAGGCACTTTTTTAAGCACAATCCAATGGCGTAGTGAGTTTTTTTCTATGCTTCCTCTTTTTGTCAGAAATAATAAAAAATATAATTTTTAGATGGAAATCATAGTTGGCTATGAACTTAAAAAAATGCTGACGTTTAACCATTTTGAACGATATAAAGTTATGGGTACCTATTTCTAAGAATGAGAGAAATATTAGGTTTTTTATCTTTGTATGTGTGCCTTGATTTTGTGTTGACCTAGTTGTCTAATTATTTTTTATTGCAATTTAATATTCTATATTATTATTTATCTGCATAATTAGAGACTTTTAAAAAGGTAAATAACATTCTATATTAGTTTTAGTAATTACAATTGAAATCGATACAATAAACAAAGAACAAAGCTAAAAAAGTATTTTTTGAGTGACGAATATAGTTTTTAAAAAAAAATCATCTAAGATGTTCAAACTGAGCACCTCCTTGTTGAATACATAATAAACATCTTTTGCACACAGAGTTACAGCGATTTATTAGGCGAACTGGTGTAAGTCCAAAAGCTTGCCTAGTAGTCTTCTGCAATTCTTCTCTCGTCCCAATGGTTCTTCCCTTATATATAAGGTCTTTTACAGTTGAGGGTTGGAACCTTTGGTGTTAAACAGCAAAATAAAAACACTAAATCACCACAATACGAAGCGAAACGCGCGTCCAGTGTAAAAGTAAAAGTGTTTTGGTGTATTGTGGTGATTTAGTGTTTTTATTTTGCTAAAAGGTCTTTTATTTTTTTCTATAAAAAATTAGAAAGAAGTTAAATCACAGGACCTAGCAGGCCAACATATGGGGTCCCTTGTTCCAATCCGATTCTCTCTAAATTCTTCATTTAATGGCGTTTTAATTGTAATTGGTAAAACTAATATAGAATATTGATTTATCTTTTCTAAAGTCTTTAATTTTGCAGATAAATAATAATACAGAATATAAAATTGCGATAAAAAATAATTAGGCAACTAGGTCAACAAAAAATCAAGGCCCGCTTCGATACAAAGATAAAAAACTCTAATATTTCTCTCATTGTTAGAAATAAATACCCATAACTTTATATCGTTGCAAAGAGTTGTTAAACATCAGCATTTTTTTAAGTTCATAGCCAACTATGATTTTCATTTAAATAATTATATTTTTTATTATTTCTGAGAAAAAGAGCAAGTATAGAAAAAGACTGACTACGCCACTGGATTGTGCTTAAAAAAGTGCCTTAAGAACGCCTTTACAGAATTTTATTAAAAAAATCAAAAAGACCCCGTATCTCAGTTGGCAGTGAAAATATCAACAGGCGGTTTATGCCTTTAAACGTGTCTCAGAAATCGAGCCCATGACATCTACTTCGGTTTTGCTCTATCTAGTCAGGAAATAGGTTTTCCCTGTTAAAACAGACCAATTTCGACCACCCTGTACATCTGTTAATCCAACGCAAGGCATTTTTTAATTTTTTTGGATTGAATGAAAATTACCGGACAATCGTGATTTTTACTACTGATCACAAAATTGAAAAGAAAATAAATCGCAGCCGTCGTTTATTCTTTATTATCATGTTTATTTACAACAAAAAGCCTTATCTTAAAGTTGTATACCAATTTTTATCCTTGCAAGAAATTTATTCAGAAATAAAGAGTGATTCCATATAAGTTTGGTTGTGTATATTTTAGGAAATAAAAATAAATTAATTACAAATATATAAACAGTTATTATTTATATCAACACAACTCATCTCTTTCAGAGCACTTAACGGACATAATTACTACCGCTTTTCCGTTGAAAATATTCTAATAAAGTTGTGATGAGTGTTTTACGGCTGTTAAGCTATCTTGTACACTTCTCACTAAAAGTGGTTCTAAAAGGAATAATGTTCGACTGCAAGGTCTGCTAGTAAAAAATAATTGAGCTTAAAATATCTCAACACAATCCTTTTAAATCAAAAACTCGTAATACAAAACTAAAGCGTCAAAACGTATGACAATGTCGGGAAATAAATAAATGTGGCAACTTGACATTTTTTACAGCAGAGTGGTAGCTGTCTCCTACTAGTCAGCCCGGCGACAAATATGTTGCAATGATTGGCAACAATGAATTAATAATATCAAATATATTTACATATTGTATTCTTATCCTGATATTTTTGCAGAGACCCAAAGCAAATGAGGAAGCAGATGTTAGACAATCGACTATGCTATGTCCTGATCCAGCAGAATTAGAAACAGGCAACACAAATTATAATATGTAATTTTATATTATACACAATAAATTTTTAACCTAAAATCTTTGTTATTTTTTTTCGTTATATATGTAGCTAACGATAATACCAGGGCAAGACCTATTTTTCTAAATATTGATGAAATGGACAAAAAGGACAAATAACAATTCCGAGAGAAAATTGTTACCATCTCAACAAGCGAATATAGTTTCCCTCCCCTTTTTTAAAATATCACTGCCCCTAAAGTATAGTTCCTAGGACCCCTCCGCCACTTAAAATGTTACTCTATAAGGAATAGTCACTTTGAAGTATATTTCGAGAGTGACCGGTTAGTGCCTACCTACCATAAAAGTGGAAAATAAACACTCCGATTGCAAGTCGCAAACATGTAATTTAAAGAAGTGGCTGGAACTACCCGAATCTTCGAATATAACACCATAAAAGACCAAAAACTTTGTAGTAACTTTGCAAAGTAGGGGTTACCAACAAGTGCTACCATAATGCCTCCATTAAGTTTTTGTTACTTTATAGTAACAATTTAAGTTATGGGGTAGTTGCGGCCACGACACCTAGTTACTTCTAATTTATAGTAGCATTGAAAGTAGCAAAATGGTTACTTCTACCTTCCTAGGTTACTATAAAGTAGCCGTCGCTCATCCATTGCCACTAAAAAGTCACGGGGGTCAAAAACGGCTACTTTATAGTGACCGTAACTTAATATACTCTAATAAATGTAATTGCCTCAGATTGCATCGTGTGCTGCTCTGTTTTAGTGTTTTCTTTTACTTGCTTTTAAGCTTTATTAAAATTTTGTAAAATTCCTAAGGCGAATAAAAAGAAATTTAGATATTCTAGTACTTTCAACCGAAGAATTAAACAAAAGGAATCACTGCGAGCCGATGCATCAACATCAGAAACAAAAAATACATCTTTCTATAATCTTACTTATTAGTAGGATTATACATCATAAATTCCTACATCATAAATCAGGTAGTGACTGAGACATTTTTGAAGCTGTTTCTGTAGAAGAGTGTAGTGTTAGTTCATCTGAAACTGAATCTGAGAGGAGAACTACCATGGTTCAGCATTGAAACACCAGGTTCAGCATTGGTCTGGTTGTACCAAAGATGCCGAAGAATGGGGTTGGAAGAAAACAAAAACAGGCATTACTCCAGTCACAACGTTGAAAGATCCAGCTCCAAAATCCCTGTTGGCATTTTTATCCTGTAAATGCAAAACCAACAACTATGGTAAAGCCTGCGGATGCAGAAAGCAGGATAAAATGTTCAATGATTTGCATACTGCAATGGAAAATCCTGTGACAACGTCACTGAAGTGTTACTAGATGGTCACCGCCCACTCCCTTTATAGTGGCTTTGATAGTAGCAGTTACGTATCTGCCACTATAAATGCTAGTTGGGATGTCACCAAACAGTGCCGTGGCACATATTTTTCTTAACTTAGCCGTTTGAAGAGATATTTATATTTTTTGGTAAATGTTTTGATTACGCCTATGGTGTATACGGTGGTATCATACATATTAATTACGAAAAAAACGTATTAAAATGTTAATAAAAGGTACAAAACTCGTATCAACGTATCATATCAAGTACATATAATATCAAAAAAATAATTATAGAATTCAATAAGAAAACTAAGAAAGCGCCAAAAAGGTGGAGTAGACTTATTTACCTATGGAACGTAACTCTTGGCTCTTTCTTATCGCTGCGGCTTTTACAATTGAAAGTTGAGCAACTAATCACCATTGTAATAAAGTTTTTACAAAGTTCACTACACACAAACTATTAAAAATCGCTAAAATTGTCGCTGATGACCAACTCATTCGTTGCCATCAAAAAAATGGCGTCTAATGCCACAAATTCTGCTGCAGCCCGTATATTTGTATTCTTTAGTCATTGTTTTTCATACTAACATAATACGGAAGTTATTTTTGGTAGTTATTTTTTGGAGTTGCAAGTTCGTTGTGATGGAGTGTTTGGAGTTGCAGTTGCGGCGATGCAGAGCGCCGACTTTGTATCACGAGCGGTCGATCTCTACGTGTCGTTATTCTTTCTGTTATTTTTTAGATATCTATTTTATCTATTTATCTATCTGTTATTTTTTAGAAGTAGCAACGGTTGCGTTATGTTATTTCTAAATAACTGTTATAAAATAAAAGATAGCTAAATAACAACCTGGTAATATTCAATTTCGTTCCTGACCGTTGCACAGTGGTTCCCAGATAGGTCATTACTTAAAAATATTAATTTCAAAATGCTTGCATGAAACTGTTAATACTTTTCTTATATTCCCCTGTAAACGATACATAATAAATAACAAAATCAAGTAAGCCTAGTGTAGCGCTTCTTTTTAATAGAAATGTCACATTTTTGCTACTGGTATCAATCTGACATAAACAGTTTTCAGATAACTAATTAATTACGTATTTTATTAAAATTGATAAAAGTTGTTGCCTTTTCTGTAATGGACGTTCAAAAAGAAGGTAAAAAGAACTGTTTTTTCTTTTTTGCACTTAATTAAACCTAAGTAATATTAGTTTACGGTAATTTATTTGAAGGCAACAAAAATAGTATAGTATATAGTATAGTATAGTAATATTTTTGCTTGTCACTCTTTAAAACTTTTATCTATTTTCGCTTTCAAATCCTATTAAACGGCATTATAATACTTGTTGCTTAAAGTATATTGCATATAAATTAATTGCCACTGGCTGCCGCGGATAGCGGCCGGATCTTATACCGGGTGGTTAAAGATTGAGTTTTTGTCTTAAAATAAAAGTAACTTATTTTTTCTTCTTCGTGTCAACTTATTTTGTGGACACACTATATCAATTGACAATAAAATTGTATTTATAAAATGAAACAAATGTCTCTTTATTTTTTCAATATTTAAAATAAATTTGACCTCTTCAATATGAAACATGTACATATGTATGTGCAAACATAATCTGTATACCTTTCCGAATAGTTAGAACTTAAAATGGAAATCACACGAACTGGGCCTAATTTTTTTAATACATATTACATTAAGTTTTTTATATACATTTATTTAGCATTTGTTATCAATTTCTATTAAAAAAGGTGCAGTCAAGCTATATCTAGATATCTAACAGTTATGACCGCGCAGCTAATTAAGGGGAACCACTGTGCGTTGGGTCGCAACCATAGACAAACAGAAAATTAAAAAGATCTGCCAGAAGACATAGGACAGCGCAGGCAAATGTTCCTGTAGCGTATCGACGCAAGTGCCGAAATACGTCCATCTAGCTATCTGTGTTTCGACACTAGTCCGTTAGTCTTAGCATATTCAGAAAGAACACGCTAATCTCCAGCGTTGTCAATTTGAGGAATTCCCCAAATTTTGGGAATCCGGAGCCGGTAAGAGGTACACGTGGGATTAGCAATAGGCGGCACGAAAATAAGGAGTTTCAACATTTTATTGCTGATTGAAAATGACGTAAAATTTTTAACTTTAAAAACAGAGCGGGACGATATATCTTTCCCAACTTAAAAATTATAATCTGCTTTTACTTGTGCTTCCCTTTGCAAATGCTTCAGTTGAAAAGAAAATTTAGTGACCTCAAATTATTTAATGACTACTAGGAAAGGATTAAAAAACTAGGGAGGTAATTTACAGTTTAATCCCTCTAACATATATAATAAATATTGTATTTTTATTCAAATTATTTTTTTCGTTAAAATAATCCTATGGGGGGAATTTTGGTGAATCAGGACATTTTCTCCCCAAATTGGCGAATTTAATTTAGATTTTTGGGTAGTTTAGAAAATTGACATTGGCAACGCCGCTAACCTCATTCTTTTGTTTTGTTGTTTGTTCAAAAAAAACCGGCACACGGCGTAGTACAAGCGGTTTGATAATTTTTAAGAAATTTTTTGATTGTTAATTTTATTTTTGTGCAAACTAAACAGTTGTTTTTATTAAAAATACCGGACAAAGGTAAGAAAGGTAATGTCCATGCAGAAGTTTTTATTTCACAGGCTATTCTTTCTAGAAATTATACCATCCAGCCCTCCTATTTAATTATTAAATGAAAGTGTAGAAAGAGATATCAGGAGGCTATTCTGTTAAAATATCATCCGGCCAGTCTATAGGCCCTGTTGGCCGAACCAGAAGGTCTGCTAAGTTAAAGGATGTTGGATATAGAATGGAAGGAATATCATGGCCGAGAACAAGGCATAATTGTATGTCCCTTGATGTAGGGGGTAGGTTTGTTTCTAATAGGCAGTAAAACCTCAAAATTCTACTGTGAATCTTCATATTCTAGGCCTGTAGAAGATAAATAATTCCTGGAGCCATCTCGAGGTATAGTACTCAAGTCGGACGAGATCCAATTGATAAAGCATGGATGAAAAGAAATAATAGCCATCATAAAACTGTAAATATGTATACAACTAGTACAATGTAGCTATTTAACTGTAAGTACACAATATAGCTAGATATTTAGTAGAATAGGGGTATTATAAATTAATACAAAAATACAATAATTGGTCATTCTTTCCATTCCCATTCAATTCTTCCCATTTAATCGTTTTCCCATAAAAAGGAAATTAAAATTAAAAGTGCCCTTAACCAAAATAGTGAAATAAATGGAGATAGTTAAATTTTATATTAGCGTGTAAGACTTTTGAATAAAAAAGGTGTAAAGGATTATAAATGCTGTATTTATATCCTTTAATATCATGATAATATAAAATTTCAGCAGAACTCATCTCCATTTATTTCACTATTTAGGATAAGCAATACACTCGTTTAATTGCCTTAAAAAATAATAAGTATAATAATAATTTAAATCTCCCGCTCTTTCATAGTTCGTGCCTGTAGCCAACTAGAGGGCGCCAAAAGCGCAATCTCCCAACATTTTACCACGCGATTCACCACTCTCTAAACTATTAACTTTCTCTATGGTCGCAACCGAGTTGGACATGAGTTGGACATGTGAAGGCCACATTATAACGCATAGGGTCTTAACACAAAAACCTTACTTTCATTTACGGAACTTTATTTGTTCATTGAGATGTGCCCTCGTATAAAATAGGTAAGCATTTTTCTTACAAATCTAATTTCTTATAAATAAATAAACCCTTATTAGTATTTTACAAGTTTTTGTACACTATTAAGACGTAAGTCACAGTAATATTTAACATTTCTCTTCATTGTTTTAAGCTTCAAACATTTAAATATCTGGCCTAGAAGCGCTAAACATAAGAGAAAGAAAGAAACAAAGGTTTAGGCAGTGGCACTTAAGGGCTTTCTGCGCTCCAAGGAAATCTTGAATCCGTCCGCTCTCTTAAGAATAATATCACCCTGTAGTTTGTAGTCTTCCTCCTTGTAGTTGGATTTGATCTTGTAGTTTAGGTAGGATGGTGGATAGAAGGATTTTCAGTTTCAACATGGCGTATTTGCGACCTGAGAACAATATTATTGATTAGAGTAGCTCTTAATATAAATAAAGTTAATTATTGGTAGAGTAATGCTCTATATGATAGTGATAATGATATTGAAATTATATTATTAACCAATTTTAGAGCGATTAATGTTAAATAATGTAGTCAACTACTGTGAACATTACTTTGAATAGTTTCAATGTGGTAGACAATGATACAGTATTAAAACCAATGACTAAAGAATTCAAGGACAAATAACACCCAAGAGCAAATTGTTACCATGGCACCAAACAGTGCCGTGGCGTGGCCATATTTTTTTCTTAACTTAGCTAGTTGAAGGGATATTTATATTTTTGATAAATGTTTTGACTACGCCTATGGTGTAGGCGGTGGCATCATACTAATTAATTACGAAAAAAACGTATTAAAATGTTAACAAAAGGTATAAAACTAGTATCGACGTATAGCACACATCAAGTACATAGTACATATCAGAAAAATAATTATCGAATTCAATAAGAAAACTTAAGAAAACGCTAAAAATGTGGAGCGGACTGTTTATTTACCTATGAAACGTAACTCTTGGCTCTTTCTTGTCACTGCTGCTTTTACATTTGAAAGCTGAACAACGATCGCCATTGTAATAAAGTTTATACAAAATTCACTACACACAATTGTCATGACTCATTCGTTGCCATCAAAAAAAATGGGGTCTAATGTCACAAATTCTGCTGCAGCCTGTATGTGGGTGTTACATGTCCTTATATTCTTTAGTCATTGGTATGAACTTACCGACACAACTCCTAGGTCCAGCACTGAAAGGAATGAACGCGTAGTAGTGCCTGTTGGCTGCTCTTTCTGGCAAGAAGTTATCTGGGTCGAACTTGTCTGGATTGGGGCCGTAAATTTCTTCCAGACGGTGGACTTTGAACTGAGCAATGACAATGGTGGCTCCAGAAGGAAGAGTCAAATTTGGATTAGAAGCTGAAGAAATAATGATAATAAATTTTAGAAGGTTACGTTGTATAAATTCAGTATTAATTTGAAGCTACCGTAATCGCAAAACATTTTCCGATGGACGTCATCAATCATATCGAAATTGACACTAAGCCTACAGTCTGACAAACGGATCTGAAACAACGGGGCAACGGAAAAGGGATCGCCATTTTCTAAAATCATGACCGATTTCATTCATAAAATATCCACGAGCGTGCGGTGTTTCATAAAAATATATCAGGAATTTTTATAATATTTTCCAGTAAAGTTTATAATATTATTTTACTTTAAATGTACCTACATTTTGTTTAGTCATTAACCAAATATAGTAATATTTGTTAAAACGCGTGTACTAATTACAATAACCACAAATCAAGTTAAAGATATAAAACACAATACAATAATACCGCCACTGGATTTTTCAATAATAGTGATTGTTTCTACTATTCCTAGAGAGGGGCATAAATTTGGGGGTAATGGCGGCAAGACGTGCGAGAATCTCAACCAATCAGACTGGTTGAATCCGGGATGCCATGATGAATTTTGTCAGCGTTGCCAGCTTACCCTAAGCGGCCTTTATCTTAAGGAAATACTACGTCAACATATTAGCATATATATAATTATGTATGCTGAAATGAACTAAAATATATTCAATTTATAGGTAATATCGAGCAACTTTGCTTTTCTATAATTAAACGTGACAACATCGACTTTTTTTGCCCGAATTCCTTCCGCTGTTTTAGATTCGTTTGTCAGATAATATAAACCTGACTAAATAAAATTTTGGCAAAATTTTTTAAAATTTGTTTTATAATTTAAGATACCGAGCAGCTCTTCATTTTACTTTATAGAGCAAATGATTGTAACATATATTTTATTTACATTAAAGCTACAAAATTTATATACAGAAAGGTCTAGACTTCGAGACAGGAAAAATCAAGTCCATTTAGCGTGTGTCGCAATTTTCACACCTTAAAAATTGGTTTTTTTATAGCTATAGTAACTGCAGCGACTTATGAAAAGAGCTGTGTGGTTTTCATATAGAAAATAAGGGCACCTATAATTCATTTGAGAATGTTATAAATCGCTAAAGAGGTTTCAAATCTCTTGAATTTCTATTAATATTAAATAAATTTTATTAAAAATGGAACTAAAATTGTTAGTATCATTAAAAACAATTCATTGTTTTTTTAATCCAAAACTTTTGTTTTTTTTAATCAAAAAAAATAAAAGAAACAAATCTCTCAATCAAAATATTTGTGGTCCTGAAAAGGACCTTTGCTTTCACATGTTCGTCAAGGTAGGTAATAGGTAAACGGTAAAAAAACAGGATAATAAAATTTAAAAAATTACAAAAATTATTCAAAAATGCCTCCCTCTGGCATTAATAACCCAAAAGATCATAAAATCCCCTCTCTCCTCACATTGGATAACATATCAGAGGTGACAGTGTCAAAGGCATTAAATATTTTCTGGCTTAACTGCTCCAAGTTTTGAATTTCTTCATGACCGTAAATTTTAGATTTTATGTACCCCCATAAAAAGAAATCATTCACTGAGAGGTCAGGTGAAATTAAACGTCAGTCTAAACAAAACTGTAATTTTTGAAAACTTGTCAAAATTTGGACACACGCTAAATGGGCTTGATTTTCGTATGTCTCGAAGTCTGTGGACTTTTCTGTATATCGTGTTGTTGATGAATCTTTGTGATTAATTCTGGTTTTTTGCCTATTTTCATAGTCTTTTTTTTTAAATTTGTACTTACTGTATTGTACTTAATTAGTACAAACAGTTCTTCCAAGAACTAAATTCTTGAGTTTTTTTTATATTGCATTTCTTGAAATTGTTTGTTGAAAATATGCCAGAAACATTTAAATAGTCGAAGCAAAAAAGATTGTAGTTTTCCTGAACCATTTGAACGAGAACGTGACAATAAAGGAAGCTTTATTACATGGTGCACTCAGAGAAGTAAGTGATTAGTAAGCACATTATACCACTTTCAAAGTTATTTCTACGTTAGTTTTTAGTAAATTCTGTCATTATTTAGTTTGTGCATTAATGGCATTCTCTTACTTGTTATTACCACTTGTGGTATTGTAAGTCATACATCAATAAATAAATAACCCATAATAACGCTTAGGACCTTTTAATGGACTAGTTTTTTACCAATATGTAATAAGTACGTAAAATAAGCTATAAAACAAATAAATCAATTACTTACTAAAATATTAATTATTAAATTAAAAATAAAAATATTTAAAAAATGATATAATAAATATATTGTTTGTCAATTTTAAATTAATATTCATCCCATAAATCTATCACAATCTGGCAGCGCTGTCGCCATCACTTGTCACTGAAAGTTGATCACGAGCATCGGAAATTGTTTTGCGATTACTGTATAGAAACTCCAGACATAAAAACTAAAATATTTTTATTGGAAGACCAAGATGGTGAGACTGGGCTCTATTTTACTTAATATGAGTGCTCTTGAGTCATGCTTTTATGCTTAAAAGAAAATTTTATGCTTGAAATGCACTTTCGCTTATCACTAGGCTTTCATAAAAATTTATTAATAAAGTGCAAGACTTAAAAGATTCTTGCAGCGACTTCAAGACCAAGAGAGTTTTGGTCTTATTGGTCTTGCATTGACTCATCACTAACCAAGACACCTACCCAATTTAACATCCTGCTGAAGCTGACGCGCAATAATAGGTACTGGAGGGAACAACCTCAGAGTTTCCAAAAGACACCTCTCCAAATACTTCATTTCCAACGTATCGGCGAAAGTAGCCATCCTGTCCGATCCCTGGAAGATCTCATCCAACTCCTGCACAACCTTCTCTTGTATCTCTGGATGGGCAGCCATCTGGCACAGGAAGAAACTGGAACCAGCGGCTGTGGTGTCGTGACCTTCGAACATGATGGTGTCCACTTGCTCTTTGATTTCTTCGTCGTTGATGACGACACCGTTTTGGGAGGCTTCGATCATCAAGTCCAAGAAGGCCATTCTCTTCTTTTCGCCTACGTCATCGTCTACGTCAAGATCGTCCTTGAGACCTACAGACTGGCCGTAGGAAGTGCCCTCGAGGGTGGTTGTTTTTAGTGGTACGTTCTTTTCGAGTTTGCTGGTTTTGTATTCGTCGGGGAGTTCAGCTGTGGAACCTCGGATGCCTGCAAAAACCAAGCGATACCAATAATGTTAATAATTTATTAAGACGCACTATGGGGAGCATCATATTTGAACAAAACTAATATAGGTACCTACACTCACCGGCAAAAAAAAACTTATGATTTCTAACCATAGAGAAAGATAATAAATTCTAACCACAATTTCTCTTGACGGAAGATAATTATTAAAGACCAAAATGACATTTCTCGCAAATTTTGATGTATAATTTGTGGAAAAGTTAAAAGTTTCATAACTTTTTCTACTAATTGAAAATGTCTATCACTAATTTTGACGTTCTGAATGCTTACATTGAAATTAAAGGAACAAACTTCTACGCTAATAGAAACCACTAATTTATTCCACTAAATGCGAGGTTCTGAATGAAGCTTTAATTTCGTTAATTCAAATGTTTAAGACCAGAATATCTATTTTTGTAGGATATATTATTACCTTGTTCGAAGTCAGCCTTCTTTTTCTGAATAACTCTGCGAGTCAGACTGTGGATAACGCCGATCAATTTTTCCTGATACTTGGCGGTATTGGTCAGGTTGAAAATGAGGTCTGGTCTGAACCAGAGTTTGGCATGCCTGAGATGGAGGATCTCGCACAGCTTCATCACGGCCATGGCGTAGTCGTATCCACTCTGGCCTTGAGTCTTCTTGCTCACACCCATTGCAGTTTCTAAAGAGTTCCAAATAAAGACAATTAAATAATACATTACGTTAATAGTATTATCAAGACTCCAATTTAGAGCAACTTGGGTTTATATCAAATTGGTAAAAATTATGTAAAATATAATTCCAGTAAACCATTTTGATGTAGGCAAGCAAAACTCCTTCTATATCAACAGACGATGTCGTAAAGTGTCGGTGAGATATTAGTGCCATCTCCTATTAGTACCATCTGTATTAGTACATCTCATTTCATATATATATATTTGAGCGGGCCGAAAAGCGCTCTTTACCACCTTTTAACGGGAGATGCACTAATATCTCACCGAAACTTTACGACATCGTCTGTTGATATAGAAGGAGTTTTGCTTGCCGTATCTGTGAAAACCAGCCCCTGGACAGCCCACCTGATGAAGGGTAGGCACAGAAACCGGTTGTGGGAGTGGAGCTTGGTTCCCCTCTCTACGACAAGCAAAACAATTTTCTTGTTACTTTTTATTTTTTTATTTTTTCTCTAGTTTCGATTTTTCGAAATTAGAAAAAAATACACAGCTAAAGGCAAGAAAATATTATTTATTAATTATACAGTTATTTACCTAACAGGATTTCTACTGTCGCTTCTGACATGTAATCATGACAGTCGAATTCCTTTCCAAGAGTTCCTTCTAGTTTCTTAACGGTTTCTCTGCTGTTCTTGTTGAAGAGATCGATGAAGGACTTCAACACGTTCAAGTGGAAAGTGGGGGCAATGAGTTTCCTGTGAGCCCTCCATTTCTGGCCGGTGGAAATAAGGAGACCATCTCCCAACCATGGTTTGAAGTATCTGTATTCTGGCGATCTGGAATAGAATAAAGACATATTTATTCCTTCTTACATTATGATTTGGGTAATGTACTGAGTACAAGGCTGAGATAGGTACCAAAACTGTAGTTAAAACAACGCAAGGAACTCCACAAGGTGGAGTGACCTCCCCCCTACTGTGGAGCTTGGTAGTGGATGAACTACTGGAAGAATTAACTCTAGCGGGAATACACTGCATAAGGTACGCAAATGACATAGTCATCATTGCACGGATCCGAAGATTGTTTTTACTTAAATCAAGGAAAACCTTTGATTTTTCTCGGTTGCGGAGAATTAGTGTTTTATTTTGCTGTTGGCACCAAAGGTTCCAACCCTCAACTGTAATATTTGAATTACCTTGAAAATATATGAAAAATATTTTTAAAATTGCGTTGTTATTACTCACATGCTTTGCAATTCGCCATAACAATGGTTATTAGTCATTAAATATATTTTGAATTATCATACAGGAGAGGAGAAGTAATTCTGTTTTGTTGCATATTCAGAAATAGCTTGGAAATAGCAGAATAACTTGGACACCGAGCAAGTAAGTTGGTAATAAAGAAAACGGAAAGACAATGTAAAGGCCAAACAGCGCTTGACAATGCCATTCACAGTTCCAGAAGTCTTCTGCGGTGCAGCATAAACACGAACAAAAATAGTCACAAATAGGCAGGGTCAAAAAATCTCTAGAATAATAGAAACATTCACAAGGAGAGAAGCAGGCAAAATATTTTATATAATAACACTTACCAAAGGATAGGACAACACTCACTAACGGACTGATAAATAAAGACAGGAAAATTGCCAAAATTGTAGTGGGTCTATCAACAGGGTATTGTAAGTTTAATAGGCCTGATAACAGACAAATCAACAAACAGATTCTGTCTGTTATTGATAAAACGGTATATATTCTATATCAGTGAAATTGATTGCCTGACAAATGTGCTTTCTCTTGTACTAGACGATAAGTCGTTAAAAAATTGAAAAATTGAGTTTCTTGAATATAATCTACAAACAGAGGATCATAAGGGCTCAAACGCACTGACGACCAGGTCGCAGCGACCAGCATTTGATTCAATGATATTAGGAAACGCAGCTGCGATCAGTAATAACATTGAATCAATGCTGGTCGCTGCGACCTAGTCGTAAGTGCTTTTGAGACCTAATGGATCTAAAAATGTCGCAGTAGAAGAGACCAAAAACCACCTCCTAAAATATATTTTAATAGGACTTTGTTCTTGATATTTATATCTAGAAAACATTCGATCAATGTGTACTACTAGTCATGACTTATGTGCGAAACCTGGACACTTAAAACCGACATTACAATTACGACGTTTGATGGAACAAAGTATGCTGGAAATAACAGAGAAAACTATAAAAAAATA